CCCTTTGTTAATGGACTAGTTTGGCTTTGTGATGATGACTAAGGTAAACAGAGATGTGAGGCATGGTGGTTTGTTGCTTTAGGGAGACAGGAGTCCTTGGTTCACTAGTGCCCACTAGTAAGAACTGGGGGCTTTATGGGGCGCCTGGGTGGCTCAGTTGGTTAAGCGACTGCCTTCGGCTCAGTTCATAATCCTGGAGTCCTGGGATCGAGCCCCGCATCGGGCTCCCTGCTCGGCGGGGAGTCTGCTTCTCCCTCTGACCCTCCTCCCTCTCATGCTCTCTGTCTCACTCTCTCTCTCAAATAAATAAATAAAATCTTTAAAAAAAAAAAAAATGAAGCTGGTAGGATCTAAAACCTATGGACCTAAATGAAACATTTTTTTTGAGTTTCCAAAATGATGTTACTCTCCTTCAGTTTGGGAGACCCACACTCAGAAAACCCCATCCTGCAACTATTCCCTCGGTGGCACCTACTGATGGCTTGGGCAGCGCCGGCGAATTTGCAAAGCACTCTGTGCTACAGGGAAGCCCCGCAAGGCAGACGCTGGTAATTATTACTCCATTTTACAGATGAGAAAACAGAGTAAGTCGTTCATTAAAGGCTGCACAGCTCATACATGGTGGAGCCAAGACTCAGTCTCTGGCCTTTGTCTCTCCACCTCACGGTTTGCGGGAAAACACTAAGTTCTTAATGAACTGGTTAAGTGGATTCTCAGAAGGGAAGCTTCATGATGGGGTGGACCCGGGCTGTGTCCGGTGGGAGGACAGGTGGAAGGACGAGGCTAGGCCCAGCTGTCTGGAAAGCAGACAGGGAGGAAAAGCCCCTGGGGCCACACCGTGGTGGTGCTTCCGGACAAGTTTTGTGGTGGCCCTTGTGCCCCACACAGGATCTTATCAACACACTGGGGGCTTCTGAGCAAAGAGGTGACAGAACAACATCTCTACGTTATAAACCTACTGAAGTGGGAGATGGCAGTGCTCACAAGAACTTCTATTACAAGGTAACTGCAATCCATCAGGCATCTGATAAAAAAGGTTCTGGAAGCGGGCAGAAAGGAGGAAAGCAAGTGGGCAGGTCTGAGGAGAACAGACAGAAGGGTCAGGAACCCAGACCACCTCCTAACCCACCCGAGACACTCTGAGCATCGTCACGCGCTCCTAGCCACGGAGGAGAAAACTAAGTCATCTTCCTTGGACGCGTGTCAGGGTGAGTGAATGGGACAGAGCCAGGCGGGGCAGCTGGGGCAAGATGGGGAGTGACGTTGCCTCCACAGCAGGAGGTGAGGCTGAGGGGAGAGCAGTGCTTGAAGCCCATGGCGAGATTCCAGATCCCAGGCTGGGAGCTCGAGGGGAAGAAATGAAACCGGGTGCTTGGGAAAGTGATGAATAAATGTCATCCCGACCCGCAGCCAGCACCCACCTCTCTGCCACGTGATGGTGGAGGGGTCGATGTTGAGACGGGCGAATTTACCCATTTCCTCTTCCGTCAGTGCGTTTGGATCTGTCTTATTTATTCCCAGTTTCTAATGATGAGGAGAGGAAAAAAATGTGAGGAAGAGAAAGCAAAATGTAACCCAAATTATCCCTCTTATTTTATTTCTTCCATGACTGGAAAGTCTTTTTAAAACTACACTGAACTAAAAACCAAACCAAACCAAAAACAAAACACCCAAACTACACTGAACTTTGAGTAAATTGTAGATTAGGCCAATTCCTAAACAGATGCCCAAATATCCCTGAAATGGAGGACATGGATATTTGCAATATACCCTAAAATGACATGAAAATGAGGTATGGTTGCTAGGACACAGAGACTCTCGGGACTGTGCTACGACATGGTCACACGTGCTCTACTCAGAAGGGACATAGACTGCTGTCCACATAATTGATGTTCCAGCTCATTAGCTCTTCTTTGAAATATAAATACCAATAACTCAGGCCAAGTTGATACCTATTTTTTTTTTTAAAACAAGTTATCTCTAATTCACTGTGGGGAAAAAAAAAGGATTAAAACTCTCAGTGCATCTCTTTCTGTAAAGGAAACATTCTAAGAAAGTTCATAATGAAGTGTAAGAAAGTAACCTGAAAATACAAATGCCAACAGAAATGATGTATGTTGTGACTGCTGAGGTTGGTATATTGTACAGTATTCTCAAACAAACCAAACGTGGTTCAGGAAGAAGCAGGGGGGGTGAGTTTTTTTT